CTCTCCCGCACTCGATATATGATCCACTGTTGATCTGCACACAGCTGTTGTCACGAACGTCGCACTCGCTTACGTCACTGTCATGAGACACTCTCGCAAGAAAATCACGGTTTTAGTAACGCAGTAACGCAGCGTTCCTACGGGAAAGTAACAGTAATCTAATTACCGTTTTTGCAATAGTAATCCCTTACTTTACTCGTTACTTGAAAAAAGTAATCGGATTACAGTAACACGTTACAAGTAACGCGTTACTGCCCATCTCTGATCACTATTAACATTTGCACAGCAGTTAGTGTATTTCTCAAAACAACTAGTGCAAGCTGCAAAACCTAGTGGATAACCTGCAAAAGCAGGTCACTTGCTCAAAATCAATAATCCATTCCTCAAAAACAAGTATTCATGTCAATGAAACTGTCAGTGTCATCAAAATGAGAAGTCTTGAACCATCTTGATGAACAAGATAATCAAATGGCTTTGTCATGTTTTCATTATGACAGTGTACAGTATTCTCTCATTGTCTTCCAATGCAAAAAAAAGGTCAGAACTCGGTGACACTACCTGAAAATGCTCAAGACAGCATTATACACTTTTTGCACAGCCATGTACAATCAAATCTACAGTAGAGTTAGACATTCCTGTAGTTATGGAAGTAAGTGAGTACAAGACACTGAATACGTATGTTTCACATTTTTACTGTGTAGGATGTTTGTAATTCTACAACATTGTGCAAAAGAAAAATACTCAACAGTCGCATATTTAGAATAAACATGAGAAACACCCTTTTTGGTAGAGCTGTGCACAAATGTGAACAATATAACAGTATATATTGTAAATGAACATACGTAAATCATTCTGGCACATTCAGACGTTCCTGTCTGTCTGGCCACATATTCCCATCTACATCACAACAGATACTGCATCCATGGCTGCTAGCAGGGCCATTTGTGAATGCTGGTCACAAACCTTCCACCTCCAGGCAGACAAAAACTCCTCTATCGGATTAAGGAATGGGGAGTAGGGAGGGAGATATTCAACAGGCATTCTGTCATGTGCTGCAAACCGCTGTCTGACCAGATGTGAGTAGTGAAAAGGGACATTATCCCACACAACAACATACTTGTTGAGTTGACCTCCACCCCTCTCATTCTCAGGGACTATGGCATGAGAGAAATTGTTCAATTTCAGGAACAGGAAAAAATAATGGAAAAAAGGTATAACATTTTCTTGACAGCATTTGAAAACTAATTCACCAATTTTGGATGTAATGACTCAAGCAATGAAATAAAGACTATTGGTTTTATTGGGAACAACTATTTAGCATCCAAAAGTATACTTCATTTTGACTGACATGACATAAGCAAATGATAATGTGGTCGATGGCAGAGAACTGTATGAAAGCAACTAAAACGTGTCCAAGAGCATTTGCAATTTGTTCAGAGGAAGGAGAAATTGCTACTATGATGTGCACAAATGACTAAATGTTGTGGAGGTTGCACTAATGGTTTTGAGATTTTGATGTTTTCATTTTTCATTTTTCATTTTGATCTGAGAAAAGCACCAAAGCGACTGAGAAAAACTGTAAATGTTTCAGATTGCAATCAAAATGATAAAATTGAGTTTTTAAATGATTATTTTATTTATTAGAAGGTAATAAGGGAAAATACCTATCCAAACTTACCTGTCCCTATGTGAAAAACAGATCACTTGAGGATCACTACTAACACACTAAACCCCTAAATGAACATTTGCATGTAGAAAAATTTGCAGACTGATGTTAAAATTTAGGTCACTGGTACAAGCATGGCTGTAGCGCTCTGGTATTTCAGAGAGATGCTCAATGCGTAAATACTTCCCAGAGAAATCATTTGAGCCCAGGTCTCCTGAGGTCTGCATTAAAATGCATATCTGGTTATTTCAATAATTTCTAAGAGAAAATAACAGTTCTGGGGTAAAGTCAGAGATCAGCATCAGCTATGTCATGCTAACAGTATAAACAACTGATACTCCAGAAGCAACTACTGTATGTAGCATCTTTGTCCTGCTGTGAGTCAAACATGATTGATAAATATGACACATCTTGATTGGAGCTGAACTTTATGTGACTTTTTGTCCTTGTAATACAGCAGCTCCAGCCACAGACTCTGCAAATACTGAGTAAACCTTCATGATGCACACAAAAACAAAAAACAACTTTAGCTTTAAACTCTATGTGTGTGAGGATGAGAACCAACATGTGTTACAATTTTAGGATTCGAGTATACTTTATCATCTTACTTTTAATCGAATCCATCAAAATGCCATTTGGCAGCATGTTTTCATTTTTAAATCAAGTCATTTAGTTGCCAACACACCTAGAAAGACTTGCGATTGACAGATTTACCCAGTGAGATGAGGGGATTTGTTTCTGCTCTTGTCACTGTGATGCAGAGGGTCACACCACACTGTGACAGTTCACACACACATACAAAAGAGGTGGAGACTGAAAGCACAATGTGATATACTGGAACGTTGCCGGGTTTATTAAAGGAGCTTGATATGGGGATGCCACTCAGCTTGGGTTCTAAATTGTCATGTCCTCATTGACCATGAGAGATAGCTGCAAAACAGTAACAACATAACACGACAGCTTCAAAAGCAAACTAATCCACGTTGTAATCCATTCCAATCATAATTATGCATCTTTATTCTATGCTAGTATTTTGATGTGTATTGCATTCTCAAAATGACTGGAATATCTGTTAACAGAGATGTGACAACATGTTACGAGATACCGATCTGTTGCAGGAAGTAAGCCAGTTAACCATGGATTTGGTTTCCTGTCTGATAAGCGTGCGGTGGACAATGAGGCTCCAAACCACTCAGATTCACTTAGGAAAGGAGAGTAAGGTGTTTCCTCTATATATTGTAACGAGGATGCAATAAATCAACAACTCACCGAACTGTTGACAGGTAAACTATTTTTCATAAAGAGATACTTCATGCTGTTAACCTTTGCTGTTTGAAAGGCACAGAGATTTGATGTGTGTAGCATAGAGGCACCACAGTGCCGCTGATGTCAGCTTAAACAAGCTTGTCAGACTGTAACATGACATAAAAGCAAATACAGCACAAGGTGGCTTGTCAAATCACTATTAGCTGATGAACCTGCTAACCACTTCTTTTTATTTCCTGGCAGACATTTGAGTGAAATGTAAATAAAAGTACCTTTTGAGCTCTATAAAACAGTGTAAGCACAACATCTACATTTGGATCAAACATTTACTTTACTTAATTTCTTTGGCAGTGACTCTGCAAGAGTGTGAAAAATGAGCTGCTATGTCTTTTCTCTCTCTACCGCCCTTCACTCTTTATCGCTGTGTTAGCATGGTTTATGTCTTCTTTTCTCCCTTCCCATCTCCAAGCCCAGACCATCCAGGCAGATGGCAGTCTGCCGTGCCGTGAGTCTGCTATCAGTTTCTCTTTATTAGAAGACATTTGCTCCTTTTTTTCCATTTTTTCTCGAACGTTTTGCTGTTACTTTGCAACAGATCCCACAGAACAATTCTCACACAACAATTCAGTCCACATAACGTTGACAAGCTGACTATATATTTTTGAGACAAGGGGGTTAGGAATGTAACTCAGAAGGCTGTTCTCATGAGCGCACTGCCATCCATCCATCTATCCATTTTCTTCTGCTTATCCAAGGCCGGGTCATGGGGGCAGCAGTCTAAGCAGAGAAGCCCAGCCCTCCCTATCCCTGGCCACCTCCTCCAGCTTGTGCGGGGAACACCAAGGTTTTCTCAGGCCAGCCAAGTAATGTAATCTGTCCAGCATGTCCTGGGTGTGCCGCTGGGACCTCCTCCAGTTGGGACATGCCCAGAACACCTCACCTAGGAGGCGCCCAGGAGGCATCCTTATCAGATGCTATAACCACCTCAACTTGCTCCTTTCTGGACAAGGGTGCAACTAAGGGGAAACCGGGGGGCACTGGCCACCCCCCAAAATTTGCTGGCCCCCTAGTGGCACTCCTAGTAAGATAGTCCTATGGTGGTAATAATTTTAATAAACATGAGCACAACACAAAGGAAGACACCCCATTATGCGCTGAAACATTAACTGTTTTGGGGGTTATATTTTTAGTGGTCCCCATATTGCTACCCCTATGAAAAAATTCTGGAAGCACCCCTGACTCTCAACCCCTCCCGAATGACCAAACTCCCCACCAAATCTCTAAGGGACAGGCCACCCAGTTCATTTCCACCACTTGTACCCGCGATCTTGTTCTTTCAGTCACTACCCAAACTCATGACCTTAGGTGAGGGTACAGACGTAGATCGATCGGTAAATCAAGAGTTTCGCTTTTATGCTCTGTTTTCTTTTCACCAACAGACTGGCACAGCATCCATCACTGCAGCTGCAGCACCAGTTTGTCTGTTGCTTGTCTATCTTGTCTATCTCCTCCTCCCCTCACTTGTGAACAAGACCCTGAGATACTTAGTCCTCCACTTGCAGCAGCAACTTGTCCCTGACCTGGGACAGAGCTGAAGCCCTTTTAGGTTTAGGTTTAGGTAGGGATGGAGCCCGGTGTTGGGTCTGTGCTTCCACAGGCCCCGCTGGTTTAGAGACTTATTCCCATTAACGAAGCAAGACGAACAGCAATCGATCAATTTTACTTGCTAGCAAGGGAGGCTGGTCAGAACCAGGCTCTTGGAGCTGAACGCTCCTCACCTGTTTCCTAGCCAACTTCAAATAAACAGCCTTCCTTGCAGCCTTTTTATTGAATACAGTTACAGTTTACACAGGCACCACCCATTGTAACA